TTATTTCCATAGTCTTTCCACTAACTACCCTTGCTGATTTTCGGATTATATTTTATTTAGGCTTATATTGAGATTCCAATTGTACTGGAAAAAACAGCTGAGTTTAGATTTAGGTTCAATTCCTTGCTCTACTGTGTATAAGCTTTATGATATTGGGCAGGTGAGTAACTTCTAGCAATCTTCGTTTCTGTATTAGTCGCTTTTCATGCTGCTGATCAAGACATACCCAAGACTGGGCAATTTATCAAGAAAAATAAGTTTAATGGACTCAGAGTTCCACGTGGCTAAGGAGGCCTCATAAACATGGCAGAAGGTGAAAGGCACGTCTTACATGGCGGCTGGCAAGAGAGAATAAGAGCCAAGTGAAAGGGGAAACCCTTTATAAAAACATCAGCTCTCATGAGACTTACTCACTATCACCAGAACACATGGGAATTATGGGAGAAACACGTGGGGAAACATGTGGGAATTATGGGAGCTACAATTCAAGATGAGATTTGGGTGGAGGCACAACCAAACCATATCAGTTTCCTCATCTGTAAAACAGAATCATACCTACTACATGCAGGTGGAGGGTAAGGATGTGAATATTTGATGAAGTCATATAAGCAAAAGAATCTAGTCCACTGTCTAGCACTTTGGAAGATCTCAGTTAGTGGAAATTCCTTCCAGTTCTTTACAGGAGGCAACACACCCAAAACTTACTGGGTGTTGCTAGAATGGGGCGTGTGGGGAGCCATCCTGGATACTGGCAGAGCGGCCCAGGGTGGCCTTACCCTTTGGAATAGGCCAACTCAGTGTTAGGTCCCCTTGGCATTGGGTGAATTCTGCCCATCCAAGCAGCAGCGGTGTGCATAGGATGCCTGGGGCTAGTCACCGAGGCTCACAGCAAGGCACTGGAAGCCTTTCCAGAGCAAGTCAGAAATTCGGAGCTAGCACAAAGCAGTGGCAGTGATTTCAGAAGCCTCCCACTGAATGCTTTCTCAATTTCCTGTGCAGACCTGTCAGCTTTGCCCTAGGGGCATGTTGTGGTTACATTCCAAGGTTGCCTGCTGCTGACCAGCTCAGCTTCCTTGGCCACAGCCTGAGTCTTCGGTGAGTTTCCCCACTAGAACAGAAGTCACCACCCAAACTTGTTCCGCGTACCCGCATCAGATAATGGGACTGAATTAGAAAGAAAGAAATGAGAAGGAATTGGTTGGATCAAGGTGGAGGCATAGGTACTACAGCAGCAAGAATCAGATTTATAATGTACTTCTCCAAGCTTTTTCAAATCTTTATTATTTAAGAGAGCCTATGACCCCTTCTACGTATATAACCAAGAGAAACATGTGTACGGGTTCACCAGAGGACTTGTAAAAGAATGTCCAAAGCAGCAGTGTGTGTAATAGCCCCACACCGAACACTACTCAAATGCTCATCAACAGCAGGATGGAGAAATACGTTGTGTTATAATCACACAACAGAATGTTATGCAGCAAAGAGAATAAACAAATTGTAACTGCATGAAACAACATGGTTGCATCTCACAAACAAAATATTACAGGAAGTAATATTACAGGAATACAGTAATAGTAATGCAGCAATAGTAATAGTAATACTGTAATAGTACAGGAAGCCAGATGTGCAAGAGTACATACAGTGATTCCATGTATACGATGTTTGAAAATAGGTAAAACTTACCTATGATGTTACAAGTCAGGATAGCGGCTGCTTTTGGTGGGGGATAGTGACTGGAGGGACATCCAAACTAGGTTTCTGGGGGTGGGGGTGCTGGTGGTGGTGTGAGGTGCTGCCTCTTTTTTTTTTTGAGGAAGAGTCTTGCTCTGTTGCCCAAGCTGGAGCGCAGTGGTGCGATCTCAGCTTACTGTAGCCTCAACCTTCTGGGTTCAAGTGATTCTCCTGCCTCAGCCTCCCGACTAGCTGTGATTACAGGCATGTGCCACCACACGCAGCTAACTTTTGTATTTTTAGTAGAGATGGGGTTTTGCCATGTTGGCCAGGCTGGTCTCTAACTCCTGACCTCAAGTGATCTGCCCACCTCGCCCTCCCAAAGTTCTGGGATTACAGGCGTGAGCCACTGCACCCGACCCAATGTGCTTCTTCTTGATCTGGGTGTTGGTTGCATGGGAGTGTGTAGCTGGAAAATTTATTGAGATGCATGCCTACAGTTTGTGTTCTTCTGTATCTATATGTGGAGCTTCAATGAAAAAAGAATGTGATAATGTCTGCATACCCTTATCCTCATAGATTGCAGCCTGGAATGGAAGCCTGCATTGTGGTTTTTCCACCAGTGAAAGAGTTAAGTAATACTCAGCATTTTCTTATGTCTGGCCCAAAGTAGGCACTCAATAAATATTTGCTGAATAAATAAAGAATGGGTACTACAGCACAGTTCTAGACAATCCCGGCACCCAGCTGCATTCTTGCCCTAGATGATGGGAAATAAATTAGATTGAGAATAAATTTTGTATCATGATAATAAATCCTTCTTTTGTTGTTGTTGTTGTTGGTTTTTAAAAGAATGGGTAATAGAAGCTATTAGATAAGGATGCCAGGAATTTTAAAAAGGTCTCATAGGGACATTTCTATTATCAGGGATTTTCCTTATCTAAACCATTGTGGCAGACATTTAGGAGGGAAGCCTCAAACCTCCTGTGCGCCATCTGGCTCAGATCCACATGTGCATGCATGCGGGTGTCCTCACTGGCAGTGGAGAGCAGCCCAGATGTACGGTGATGGGGGCCTCCTTGTAAGGAGTTCTTCCTCTGTTCCACAGCCCCTGGGAGGCCTTCATCAGGTTCAGTTCAGTTGGATCTTTGATGTCATCTCCGTGTGAATGCTGCATGATCATTTTCTCTTGGTCTTTGATGAACAAAATGTGAGGGGAGATGTTTGACCTGGGGGCAAGGCTTGTGGCAAGACAGGAAGTGCCTCATCTTGTCGGGGTACATAAAAGGGCAATTAAAGGGTACCGCTAACCAGTACACGCCTACTCACGGGTCTGCCAAGACTCTTTCAGGAAATGTGACAGGGCATGAGCGCAGAGCTGCAAAGAAGGGCGGATCTGAGGCAGTGGCGACTCAGATTTCCCTACCTCCAGCCCTAGTGGAAATCTTACTCAGTCCTCCACACCCTCTAGCCAAACCTGAAAGTCAGGAGGCCAAAAGTGACAAGCGTTTGAGAGATGGCTTAAGCTACATAAAAGGCTGGTTGAAGTCATTTTGCCATTAGAAGATTGTGGATGGGGAATGTGCAAACATGCATTCCAACATAGACCAGTCCTGTCCCCATTAAACTTGGATTTCGCTTCCTTTTTTAAGGCTCAGGAAACATTATGCTGCACAAGTCAAATCCAACGAATAGTACAATATTAAGAAATGTGTGCCTTTTGAAGCCAGCTTCCAAAGATGAGACTCTTGTCTGTAAAGATAGCTGCCCTTCCCTTGGCCCTGATGAGATGAACTAAGAAGCCTTGGTTTCAGGGAGTGACTTCAGAACTGGGTTCTTTACACCAGTGTTGAGTGGTGGTGAGCTAACACTCGGATGGAACTGGAAGCCCTCTGCCTGGGATCTCTCAAAAACTTGCTTCCCTCTAATGAGGAAGTTGCCTAATCGGTTCATGTGTCATGGATATCTTTGTTTTGCTCAAATATCAAATACCAATGACATTTTCTTGTACACGAAGTCAAGGAGTGAAGCCTGCCTTCGAAGGCAATTTAGTTCAGAGGGTCTTGTGCAGTTCGTTCAGAGGATTGGACACCCCGGCTCTTGGTGCTTGGGTCTGACTCTCAGCTCTGGATGTCATCCTCAGAGGACAGTCATCTTTAGAGTAAGAGTTGTTGTGGCCCCTCCTTATGCACTGCTGAGGGACTGGGGTGATCAGCCTGAGGGAACAGGGCTGGGTGAAGTGGAGCGGAGAAGAGCCAGGAGGACAGTTGAGTAATGCAGGCTTTGGAACTACCAGAATAGGCTGAAAGACCCTAGGTGTTGAGAACAACCAACAAACATATATAATCAGCTTTAAGCCTTGGCTCTGGTACTGATAACTCTTCTCTGCTTCTGCTTCTAATACTGCCACCTCTAGACCCATTTTTAGGGTGACAAAAAGGCTGCCCTTTTATTTATTTATTTGAGAGAGAAAGACAAAGAGGGAAAGAGAGAGACAGAGAGAGAGATTGGTTGTAAAGATCTCTGCAAATCTCACTATGTGAGCTTGGGTAGGTCAGTTGTCATGTAGGTCCTTGAGACTCCATTTTCTACTCTGCTGTAGAAGGAAGGAAACTGGACTCTCTAATCTTTAAGGTCCCCTTCTGCATCAAAGTTCTGCATTCCATAGCATCTTCCAAACAGCTTCCCAGGGAGGTGTTTTCACCAGAGGCTACCAGCCGTCCTATTACTGGGGATATACCCAAAGGATTATGAGTCATGCTGCTATAAAGACACATGCACACGTATGTTTACTGCAGCACTATTCACAATAGCAAAGACTTGGAATCAACCCAAATATCCATCAGTGATAGACTGGATTAAGAAAATGTGACACATATACACCAGGGAATACTATGCAGCCATAAAAAAGGATGAGGTCATGTCCTTTGTAGGAACATGGATGCAGCTGGAAACCATCATTCTCAGCAAACTATCGCAATAACAGAAAACCAAACACTGCATGTTCTCACTCATAGGTGGGAATTGAACAATGAGATCACCTGGACACAGGAAGGGGAACATCACACACTGGGGCCTATTGTGGGGTGGGGTGAGGGGGGAGGGATAGCATTAGGAGATATACCTAATGTAAATGACGAGTTAATGGGTACAGCACACCAACATGGCACATGTATACATATGTAACAAACCTGCACGTTGTGCACATGTACCCTAGAACTTAAAGCATAAAAAAAAAAGTAAAAAAAAAAATTCAAATATGTTTCCTGTGAAGGAGAGTGTTGTAAGCCTCATTAACACTAACATCTCAGGTCAAATGTGTTTTCCAGGCATACTTTATGCATTGAGCATCCAGGACACCAGTTTGGCTCATTTTACTGGAAGAGAAAGAGAGGAACACTCTGGAAAAAGAGGAAAAAGAGTTCAGGATTGAGTGATGTTCTGTGGATGGTGCTCTGAGCGCCATTTTATGTAAAAGGTTATTCGAGGCAAATGCCAAGATTCCAGAGGTAGGATTTCTTTACTCTTATAACTGGCCCAGGAAACCAGAATCCTCCAGGATCCACAGCTGGAAAAAGAAGACAGTCAGACTTTGAGATGCCCCCCAATCATGCCCATCTCCTGGTGCCCATAACTTTTTATAATCACTCCCTTTTATGTGTGGGCTGGACCTAGAATCTCAAACTTAATTCATGTAAGAGTGGGGAGGGTCTATATTTGTTGTTATTCTATACATACTATGTACTTGAAATTTTACCAATGAGAACCTATTTCAAACATTCATTATTCTATTAAACTAGCTACTATTAAAAAAACACAATAGCCTATTTCTGGCATTGCATATGTTAATTTGCAAGCCTTAAGTTTGATTGAGATATGGATTAGAAACATTTGTAGTAGCTGCCTCTGGACTATGGGTTTCCTAATGAGGACTCCTGCTGACCACTGCAGGTCTGTGCATTCTTGAGTAGAATGCTTTCTTGAGATTGGGCAGTCCAGACTTATAGCTGAAACCCAATTACACACACACACACACACACACACACACACACACACACACACACACAGTGCCCCCTCCACATGCTGCACTATCTTAAAGCAAATTACAGCCAAGTAGTAAATAAAGGTAGGTTTGCAGAAGGGTCATAATTCTTGTTCACATGGATGGCCAAACCCTTAGTCTCCTGTTTGTCTTTACAATTATTTATTTCCTGCTTTTTCATTCTCCATCTGGTGCCCTGGAGTTTTTCTGAGATCTGGTGGGAACAAAAAGGATGATTATAGTTCCCTACTACTCCAAGCAGGGTTGAGAAAAGAGTTGAGGAGTGGAGGGAGGGGCTGAGGTGGTGGAGTTGTTCCCACAGCCTTTGGATCACCAAGGACCCCAGGTCCGCGCTGTTGGAGGTTGCACGTGGGCAGCAGCCATGGCTCAGATGTGGTGGGTGTCCCAGGGTTTCGACCTGTGCTAGGCAGCTGGTCGTGGGACCCTCCATCTTATAAAGATACTGTTGGACTGGGCCGCCTGAGCACATCAAGAATGGTCAAAGACACTCTGGGGCCAGACTGCCCTGGCTCAAGATCCCTTTAATGTTCTAAAAATATATAACTCATAACCAAGTACAGCATTGGCACCTCCATTCTAACCACTGTCCTTTTAGATGCTCTGCCCAACACCTTTAGAGATGCATCTGCCAGTTTGATATTGAAGGTCTGTAGGCTTCCGTGTCCTTGGAGGACAGTTTGGTAACTCAAGACAGCAAATCTACTTACTAGATGGAATTTGGGGATCTAGGCCTCAGGGAAGGTATTTCCTAGAACCCACTTATCAAACTATTACTAACCTGTTAACAATGGAAATCAAATATCTTAGATTAATAAAAGTTTGCAAAATAAAAAAGTAAATTGATCATAAAGCCATGAGCTGTTCTCAAGAACTGTTTCTTTTTCTGGTTTTACAGGAAGCAGCTGGCTGAGAGGCAATGGCTGGGACCTGTCCACACTAAGGTCTTCATCCACCCCCATCCCCACCAGGCCTCAGCTATTCATGAACATTTTGCCTTGGTTTATGGTTATTTATTCCCCTTCTTCCTGCAGACCAGAGTTTTTAAACTAACTCCTTGCTTTTTTGCATGTGCACATGTAGGGTTGCTGCACGTGGGTGGCATAACTGCAGTGCAGTGGCTCATGGGGCTTTCCAAGAGGCTGACAACAGCCATGAAGTATGATTTGTTCAATGAGCAGAAATGGCGCTGCCCTCTGGGAGTGCCCCCAACCTCTGGGTCCCTCGCTGGTCAGGACTGGCTTGGATTGTGCCCACGGAAAGACGTGTTTCTTACTGGCTCCTCTCCTCCGGGCTGAGTTTATGCTGACCAAGCTCCAATTGTATTTTGCTTTCTAGCCTGCCTGGGTGGGTAAGAAAGGAGCAGGTTTCTTTTGGGTGGGGAGGAACATTCCTTTCTTCCTGTGGGGAAGGTGGTATTTATGTTTCTCAGAAAAGAACTTCCCGAAGAATAACATATTGCTATATGCTTTGGATGTTTGGGGTGAAAAAAAAAGAACAATTTAAGCAATCTATTTCTACTCTAAAGTGCTGTCAGAAGGGTCAAGAGGGAGTATAACCTAGGAGAGCCCCTCTTCGGATTTAGCATGTGAAGAGAGCATTGGTGCTGAACTCTGCTTAAAATCACCTTGGAGCTTTTTTAAAAAAATACCAATGCCAAGTTCCACCCCAGACTAAATAAATCGGACTCTCTTGGCGATGAGGTCTGAGTCTTGGTATTTTTTTAAAGCTCCCCAGTTGATTTGAATGCGTGGCCAAAGTTGAGAACCACTGCAGTAGAGTATTGCATAGCTTATATTAGAGTGTGAGCGAGATGGACTCTTGATTATCTGAGGCTAAGTGAAAAAAATAAAATATCGGTTATTTACTGAGTGCCTTCTCCTCATCAGGTGTTCTGTTGGGCACTTACCTTATATTAACCCACAATCCCCACAATAGCCAGGCAAAGCAGGTTATATGTTATCTCTCCATCTTACAGAAGAGAAACTGAAGCTTAGAAAGATGAACTGATTTGCACAAGGTCACCTAGCTGAAAGTGGTGGAATTTGAGGTAAGGTCGATGAGATTCCAAAGCCACTAAACCCTGTGCTCCTATAAAGGACCCACTGAGGGGCTGATGGCGAGAAAGGACCACAGGCTTCGAGGGATGCTGCGTTTGTGGCTATGGTCATGGGACAGTTAATAAAGAGAAGAAATATCAAGGTTCAAAGGACAAATTCCAAGTGTTCATCTGCTGTGTGCTTTCCTTGGCCCTTCCCATGTTTCCTGCTGCTGCTATTCCCTTTTCTCCTTTCATTTAGTATGGCTTCTTCTGGCTTTCCGGAAGATAAGCTGCACTAGAATACAGGACATGTCAAAACCGAAATCCACTGTCTTTCTGTCCAAGGCAGTTTCTGCCCCTGTGAGCTACATACTGCAAAGGAGCACCTCTAGTCCTCCAGGCATGGCGGCCTGGAATCTAGAGCTCATCCATAACCCTTTTCACATCCTGATGTCCCCACCCTGTGCTTGACAGAGCTTGGTCTAGAGCCAGCTCCTAATGATATGAAACCCTCCTCCTCTCTCTTGCCTATTGTCATTAGTTCTTCTCTCTTTCTTTCTTCTGTTTGATCATTTTTTGACAGAAAAGGCATACTACTTGTTTAAAAACAGGAGTAAAACATAGTGTAAATTTCTCTGAGTATGGCCTTTCACAGAGTTTTGACTTTCAGAAGCACGTTAATGTACTACATATTCAAACAATAAAATCAAACTAGCAATTAGGAGAAAGCAAAAAAGCATCCCCAAACTAGAAGATAATGGAAGCAAACGAACCCCACTGTATTTCAAATGAATAACAACACCACGGTGGAAAAAACCTGATTGGAATAACTTATGAACGTGGTATTCAATTCTATCCATGCTGTCTTGGACAGGGCGGTGAGATGAGAATAACCAAGTCCTGAACTCTTCATAGTAGGGTTGCTTTTGGGAGAAACCATTCTGAGACTATTTTAGGTGTATTACAGGATTGAGTAATGAACAGATTAGTTCATATTGTTGGGAACAAGAGTTGTCATCGTGGAATGAGAGGTACAAACCTGTAAGTCAAGAAATAACCCTGTAGGAACTGATTGGAATTAGAGGCATTGGTGTGGATTCAGAATCATGTGTGTATGAGTATTGTGTATAGATACAGATATATGCATATTTCCCAGCTCTATCCACTGAAAAGGCCAAGAGGCAATGAAAGTCCAGCAGCAATGAGCACATCTAACACCCAGATCTTGGTCTCTGGTATCATTCCCCAATAAAGGGAACCAGGGCTCCTTGGAGAAATGACTGATCCTCAGGCTGAGGCAAGGAAGGTACAAAATGAACCTGAAATATCTTCTTATACCAGAAATAAAGAAAATGATAAAAGAAAAAGATAGAATGTATCACTAGGACACAGGAAGCAGCTTGCAAGGATTCTCACTGGTCAAGTCAGAGATAATTTGAGCACTTAAAGACAATATGAATTATAAACCATTGAAGAAGAGAGAAGTCATGAGTCTATACTGGTAATAAATAGACAGGGAAATCAGTAGAGAAGACAGGACATCTCTTGCTTATGGTGGAATACCAAGTACCTATTGGTAAATGTGTAAGAAGTGCTACAGTTGGAAAAGTCATCATTTTGCGACTGGCCATAATGAAATTACTTCTGGTAAGAATCATCAATAGATGCTATCGTAGTCTGGGTTGTTTTAACAGAATTACTATGAACTAGGTAGCTATGAAACACCAGACATTTTTTTCTCACAGTTATGGAGGCTGAGAAGTCCAAGATCAAGGTGCTGGCATATTTGATGTCTAGCAAGGGCCCTCTTCCTTTAGATGGATGCCTTTTTTCACTGTAGCCTCATATGGCAGAAGGGGCAAGGCAGCTCTTCAAGCTCTCTTTTGTTAATGGCACTAATCCCAGTCATAAGGGCTCTATCTTTATGACCCAACCACTTTCCAAAGGCCCTACCTCTTGGTACCATGACGTTAGGGATTAGGTTTCAACATATGAATTTTGGGGGGACACAAACATTCAGACTAAAGCAGATGCTAGATCTAGAAGTTTTGATGAAGAACAGATGATGGGATGCCTCCACAGTGGCCCTGAAATGGGGTTGGAAACTAGAGGCACCCAAAACATAGGTGATGCCTTGAGTCAGACACCCAACAAACCATTGCCTCTCAACATCCATGTCATAAAAAACAGCATAGTTTAGTCCCAAAGTTCTCTTTTTAGATTTGGTTTTTCAATGACTTTAAACCTTAAAATAGAAGTGTACCAAGCAGACACCTCATTTTTCAGTATAGAATTAAGTTCTGCTGATAACAGATGGATACTTTCCACATTAATGTTAAATGTGAGCACGCATCTCAAGATAGTGTAATGCACTCCAGGAACCGACAGTGATATATTAAGATACTGATTAGACGTAAAACTGATACATCATTCCTTATAGTGTACACGAATAGTACCAGTGCATAACAGTGTCTTTTGGGACTGAGGTCATTTATTTTTTCTCCTGGATATATTGTTTATATCATGTTCTCTCCCTCATGTTATATATTAAATTGTTTAATGTAAGCCATAAGAGAGCAAATGTCACTTAAAGGTCTTTTCCCCCCCTTCTTAAAATCTGAAGAATCAAATCTTCTAAAGCAGGTGATCTGTCAGTTTTCATTCCTGAATGTCATTGGTACGTATGGCTTTTCTTATCAGTTCATTTCACATTCCCAAATCAAATGACTATTAATCTACAACATCTGAGTGGAAAGGCTGGGGGCTTCCTGACTTTTATGCAGTCTACTTTCTGGGTCCCAAATGTGTGTCTGCAGGAATAAAAACTTCCCTGAAGTTGGTAGGAAAATCAATTCATTATTAGAAAGTTTCCTAGGAGGGAAAACTGTTTAGAAGCAAGTTGAAAATTAATAACCACTATTAT